ACTAGTGCGTACTTACTCAATCAGCGGTTTAACAAAGCAAATCATATTCACCGTGAGATCACTTCCGCTTTTCCAAGAATTCGATTTTTGTGACGTATGTTTATAAGAAGATGCTGAGTGAGGGGGAACACTTCTCATGCCCTTGTGGCATTTCGTGAATCAGCAAGCAAGACAGGGTTTTTTTGAGTTTTCATTGCTACTACATCGCATTTTTCCTTCATTTTACAGCATTTGGTAGTATCAACGAGTTCCAGGTGAGTTTAGACGAACGGATATGGTTGACGTTTCGAAAGGAAAATTCTTATTTGGAAGATCCGAAGGCAGGGAAATAAAGAGCGTAGAGGAATAAGAAATTTAATTAAGTATGAAGTAGGACATTTTAATATTTAAGCAAATAAACTTCAGACGCTCTGGTTTGTTATCGAAGTGCTCTGTCACTAACCCTCCATTGCGTAGAAAATGTATTTCGAGGCAGAAATCGACGGAAACAAACCAAGAACTCGACTAGATTGTGACCGTAATCGACGTGGCATAATTTGTAATTTCCGGCTCTCGAGGCCTTTGCGTGAAAATGATTTCTGGCCCTGGAATTTAAATATGAATAGGTGAAAATTTGTGCTTATTGACCAATAACTACATCAGCAGTTTTTTTTATCATGCTTTTCAGAGAGCACAAGAAGATATGCCTTCACAATTATGCTTTTAAAAAATGCCTGTGTCTGTGCTAGTGTGTTCGATTAATAATGAAATCAGCGACCAAATATGATAAAGCAAAACGCCTTACTTTTTATCGGTTTACCGGCTAACAAATCACGTAGGATGTTGGAAGAACGCGAGAAAAGTTTAAAAAGCACGAGCTCCGCAGGCATCCCGGCCAGTCACGCAGGATGTTGGGAGAACATGATTAGCCGTTAAACCTGTAGAAATTGTGGTTTACTGTGGTTTATTTGGTCGCACCACGATTAAAGCGGCAAAAATCTAGGCAATAGGAAGACAATAACATCGAGTCACGGTGTGCACTGATTCAAACGTACACCATCCAGCTATTTTTTTTACCTGCGGTGCTCTATTTTCCTTCCACCAAAATTCTTTCTGTTGCCTTAGCTTGGACTAAAGCTTTCATGGAGTCCACGTTAAAATTTGCAGAAAGAGCTTAAAACGCTTGAACTTGGCGTAAGTTATGAAATGAAAGCTGAAATCAAGGGCAGCAAACGGAATTGCTATAAATCTTGAGGCACATTCACTTTGCGAGTGTTTTTTTTTTGTCCTCATGTAAAAAAGATTTTCGGTCAATATCTAAATGAAATAAACGTGCCAACTTTTCCTTCCCGGGGAGCAGTTTGTGGAATCCTAGTCCAGAATTCCTGAAGTTCTTTTACTTTAACCGCGAAATTAAAGGCTTAAAACGGAGCAACCGGTTAGTTAAACTGCGTTTTAACTGGAAAATTTAATGTTACGGAGAAGCAAAGTCTTTGTCGTTGTTTTTACTGTTCAAAACCAAGGCCTTTAACAAATTTAATTGTGAGAATTCGTGCCTTGTAGCGCCATTTCACAGGACGGGAAAATGTTTCATTTTTTTATGGGCATACAGGCAAAAATACATTCGGCACTTGATCAATCTAAGTTATGTCATAAACTGAGCACAATTTCGTCCGCGTAGAGGAAATATGGTATCATAATTTGGCCATATCCTCCTTTTTTTAAATCAGAGTAAAAACTAAGAAGAACGATCACTTTAGCAATCCAAACAGAACTCAACTCATAACGAACGAGTCTCTTGATTCAAATGCATCGTTTTACCGTGCTGATTAGAGAGGAACTTGCAAGACGTTTGGGTTGTGTCCTTGAGGTGCTGCTATGGACCGTGGTAAGAAACACAAACACAAGGAGAAGGAGGGGTAAGTTCAATAATCCATTTTTTGTACGTCAGTCTAATCGATTTTTGTTTCTTCGTTCAGTTCCTACGTTCTTTCCTTAGTATTTTCTTCGTTCTTTCCGACTTCCATCGTTACCCACACTTTCATCCATTAATTCAGCCTGAAATTAACTGAAATTTACTTAACTTATATCCTCCGGAGTTTTGAAGCTACTACTAAGGCTAGGTGTGACCACAGTAAGTGGCTTTTATCAAATTTGCAATAAATCGCTTAGTTAGTTGCTTTAATTACACACTTATCGCAATGAGTAGGGAAAATAGCTCCCGATGTTGTGGTCTGCCTTGATTCTGAAATTGGAGGCATTTGCAAAAATATTTTCTTAAAAAATTGTAAACTGCTCAGTGCAGTCTGGCCAAAGTCCTTCGCCATGAAATGACCGATCTCTGCATTAGCCTGAAGATTTCTCTGCATCTAGAACCTAGGAGCATCCTGAGGGATCTTTCCATTGATCTTGTAACCCTTGTACTGTCTTTTCATCTCCCATCGAAGCGGTCCATACTTGAGTGTTTTGTCTTCATCTTCCTTGCCACGATTCTTAACTCACCTCAATAATACAAAATGTGACTTTCACCGCTCGCTACATCCCTGACTGCAACAGGATTTAAAATGCGAATTGATAACGCTTTGGTCGATAGCAAGAAGACAGATTACTGATAGTTAGGTGGGTCAAGGATTCCCAGATGTTTATGAACATTGGAATTTTAATTAAAATTCTTAAACGAGGAGGTCGCATGAGTTTCATCACTATGGATGGCGTGACCCCTATTCAAAATCATTCTTTTTTGTTGTATCAAGAAATCGATTTAAAACCATAGAATCTGACGGAAAATCTTGTTTTATTTGGTTTCTATGCATACTATTACCGGCACAACTCTGCCGGTAGTAGTATGCATAGAAATTAAATGATTAAATCCTTAAAAGCTTTTTTTAAGACAATAAGAATTTCTTAATCTCTCCACCGTCTTCTAGTAAAGCACTTATAGGATAATTTCTCAATTCTAATTGAGATTATTTGTACTTTCACGGATAGAAACTTTTGTACACTTAAGATACTTAGTCGTTATAATATGCAGCATTTAGGAAGAACAAATTAAAGTGTAATTCGGTGTAATATTTTGCCAAGTCAGAGTTGATTTCCATCTATATCCATTCATCCATTCATCTATCCAATCATTCATCCATCATTTTAGTCATTCACTCCTTCATTTATTTATCTATTTTTCCATTCATCCATTCACTCTTTTATACATTTTTTTCATTCATTTATTCATTCAGTCAGTCAAACAGTCATTAAGGCTGTTTGTACAGCGAGTCCCTAGTCAGTTAGTATCTGTCTGTTTGCCTATCACTTTATGTTTCCTTTCTGATTAATAATGTATTGATTTATTCGATTATTTCTTCATTGTTGCACAAGGAACCAATATGACGAGGGACAAGTTGAAGTGGTGACAGTAAGACTGAGCTTCTTGTCTGTTTTGACCTTCACTTAAGCAACGGTTCCGGAGAGCCCTCGCTATAACCTCTACTTCATATGAGTTTAAGTGCATAAGGGAAAAGCTTTGCAAACTGCGGTCGTTTCTCAGATTGATATACATGATATGTCACTCACAGCTAGCTATGAGATACTCATCCTTTCGTAACAAATATTTTAAAGAAAGGCCAATATATCGGATAATTATCAAGTTCATTTCATTTAAAATCATGAAAAATGAATTTATAGAACACACACTTGACCACATCTGGATAAAGAAGCATCTGCAGATATAGATGTAAATTAGAGTGAATATGTTCTACCCCATACAACTGAGTTACTACTCCTAGCGACCACGAATTAAATTTTCAAACGTTTTTGTTTGTTCCTGCGTTAGCTTTGTTTACGTATTTATTCATTTTTTGCTTCTTTTTATTCGTCGACAAGAACGATAACTTCGAAACAAAGCGAAACTGCTGTAAAGGTATGCCTCTATATTATTATGTCATAAATGTGTTACTTCAGATGCTATCGAACTACAGTCCTACGCTCTATCATTCATATTTTATAATTACACCAATCTCGATGAAGATCCTGACATGTTGTCTATCAAGATCAAGATCATATTGTAATGAAAAGAAAACCGTCTAGGAAGTGGCAGTATCATAAGCGTAAACATGAAGGGTTCAACGTCACAATTTATGTTTTGGCATTGCTCATCTGTTTAGAGTAAAATATGAATCAGAATTCTACCAAACGTACGACAGAATTTATTTAAGAAGCTTCACAAACAGACATAAATGAAGTGTCAAAAAAAGCTTGGAGCTACGTTTTTTAATTCAAAATTAGTCCATCCCTTATTCCACTTGGTTATATCACGCACTTCTGTTATGACAGTTTTAGAAGACAAACACATAGATGATGATACAAGTGGCGCTATGCATACCATAATTAAGAAACAGAGTGAAAGAAATAATGGCAGAAACAAGACGTCAGCAGCCGTGAGTAGCTACACAATAAAACCCTTGGAAAAATACAAGCTCTCAGTTCTCAAATGTCCTTTTATTTTTTGCATGTACTGAATTGATAATGAAATTTTCCTCTGTAAAGAGGCTCAATAGCTGACTTGAAGAGCGTCAGCCCCTCGTCAGAGCGAAGGGCTTACCGAATCCTTTTTTTCGTCGTGTTGAAACATCTATTGTGTAATCAGAAACAAACGGCCAAGTTAGAACGATACCAAAACTAGCTGCAATATTTGATAGCGTGCATCGCGCTAATAAATAATGTTCCGCAGATTATTGATTGTGAATCGCAAAATCCCATGAATACAACCCTTCCTCAAGAAAGAAAATAAGTCTCTAGATTTAAGTTTTTGATCCTGCAAATGGTCGAATAATGATCAGTTGTGACATCTCACTTTAAATAATACTTTCCTTTCAGAATATAGACGCTTCAGCACCTGAACCGGATATTTCTGTAAAGAAATCGGTACGTTTCATGCACCTCTATATACAATTCCGAGAGCTCAGTCATTGTATCGAGTTCGTAGTTTTGTCTCTCTCGATCAAAAATTGAAACTGCCAAAATCTACGAGGAAAATAACCAGTGTTCTTAGACGTAGCTTGAGAAGAGCCTCAACCATCAAATGTGGTCTCAAGTTCATTGAGGATGACTAAAAATATGTCATATTTCTTTGTAACACAGGTCAATAAAAATAAGCAGAAGCGAAATGAAGAATACCGGAAAAAGAAAGTAAGGAGTTCTTCGCTAGATCTGCACCACAATCGTTGTTCTTATGGAACGTAAGACCCCCGTGTGCATTATGTACTCCACTTAAAAATGTACCAAAAGTTTTTTTTCTCAAACATTTACAGTACTGAAAGTAAGATACGTAATTAATGATAATGGTTGACAGGGTTAATACTAGATTTATTAATTAATGAGTTCAAACTTTTTCCATAGGAACTGAACAAAATGGTTGAAGAATACAGAATTAAAACCGAGAAAGATCGAGAAAGTAAAGAACAGAAGCAAGAGGAGGTTAGTTTCCTTTAAAGATATGCTGTTTGAGCTGTAAAGACATTTTTCCGTGATTAAGACACTCGGTATGTTGGGAGAACAATCGAAAAGCTTATAAATCATGAGTTGAATGTGAGTGATTTTCGAGTGTTCTCCCAACATCCCAAGTGGCTTTATCACGTTATAGAGCCGGGAAATAATGGGTTCTATTTCTTGCATGACATAAATACATCAATGTAGTGATTGTGATTATGACATTGACCTCATTGGTTAGTCAGTCCTCTTATAGCCTCTATAGCCTAATTTAGCATCCGCTAGGAAACTGAATTGGCTTCTTATCCTATTTTCATTTATGTTATAATATCGGATATACTACTATGGAAACACAGTAACCATCGTTATAGCTTATAATTGGTAGTTGTATGGTTGTCAGATGCGCTTTATTGCATTTTGTTTACTCCTTGTCCTGAACTTGTCTTCATGCAAAGTGCGTGGGGACAAAGGCACAATTTTCTTTTAATTAATGAGTTTTTTTTTATTGCAGTCAAACAAGAAGCTATTTGGAGAGCGGGCAATTCCTAATTATGATGTCGAACCAGGTATTAACACTTTCCAAAACTCAAGCATATTTTTGGTTCAGAAACATGTACCATGCGTTTCTTTGGTTAACTGTGAACACGATTTAAACAGGATCAGATGCGTTTGGAGTGGTCTAAGCAACTGCCTTAGCTATCAAGCCTAAATCCGAGCGAAACGTTGTCAGTTACTCTGTTGCCTTTCAAGACCGATATATTACTTTTGATTTTCAGTTATCTATTTTATTAAATCTTTTTCGAGTTGTAATCCTAGCGCTATCGTGTGGCTGTATTACAAAACCTCACGTTGGTCGACTCGATAGATAATTGGGGCAGAGAGCTGCATCCCTTCCCGTTACAATAAACTCGATTTATGTTTAATTCTAATTTCATTTCAATTTTCTCTGCCTAGCATAGTAACTCAAGCTGTGCGATATCTCACATGTAATGATAATGTTATGACATAATCTTTGCAATGCTGATTTTAAATCGTTAAATTTTTCTGCTGTATTCGCGCCACAGATGCGACAAGCCCCAAAAGGGAGATTAGCGATAAACAGGCTGAAACACGAGGTATGCCCAGTCTCGTTCGTCAACGTTTTCCCCGTAAATTGGTCTGCCATAGGTTATGCCATAAACTCCATCGTAGTTGATGATGATCACAGTCCTGTGGTGAATGTAGATAATAATATATAAATGACTGAAACTATTAAGTATTCAACATAAGTGAGAAAACTTAAACCATTCGGAAAACTCAAGATATATTACAAATTAAGATCCTTTCAAAAACTGTTCAACTGAAGCAACAACCAACTATCAAGGATTGCAGAGAGTCCTTGTCTTATTAAAATTAAATTTTGTTTTTTGGTTTTTTGCTTTTTAAATATAGTCATTACAACGCATCAAATTTCAGCGATGACTTTGTCAGTATCAGACTTGTAAAAATTGGACATGTATTGTCGCGAGCTGCATGTCTTCAGCAGCCTCAGAGGATGTGCCACAAAGCTGAATATGTTTATTTACTCAACCTCCACAGTGAATGTTGCGTCAGGTGCAATACCAAAACAACGGACATTGATCGAAACATCCAGAAGAACAAAAGATATGAATGGTAAAATTGAGTGGGAGAAAGACTCTAGCATTTTAAAGGAGGGGCCATTAGTCCAGGGCAAGGAGCGAAACGTCAATCATCTAAAAGATGACACTAAACACATTCCTCAAGAGCTAAATATCGCATATGCTGGTGAGGAAGAAAGAAGCCGAAAAGTGTCACAAACTACAGAAAAGAGCCGCAAAGAAAAAACAGTGAAGGATCGATTGGATGATCCAGCCAAAGGAAACGGAGCAGGAAATGAAATAGATGACATGAAAAATAAATTGTATTCAGAGGAATTTTGGCCAGAAGAAGGAGAAAAGAAAGAAGAGAAAATTCTACCTTGTGAAAATGTTTCGCATGGTGGTTTCTTTGAGAGCTAAGACGCATGTTCGTTGCATCGCGATAACCAGGGTACGGATGAGTCCGGGGAAGAAGAAGACAACGTCGATCAAGGCACCTTGGAACTATTAGAAGAGTTTTGTAGGGAGCGTTTTGAAAGTAAAGATAAGGATTTATTTCACAAGGGAATCCAGGAATTCTTGCAGTGGAATAAAGTAAGAAAACGTCATCGATGTTCACAAAGAGGAGCATGTAACTCACTCCGGGAAGCTTCATCAGTAAGCCGAAGTAAATCCCACGTCGAAGAACCTTCGAATAAAAGTCGGAAAGGGAAAGGGAAATGCGTCAACAGCCGTCAGAAAGTTCGCCCCTTTAAAGATCTTGGATTTCAAATAACGCAGTCTGATCGACTAAAAAGACTAACACAATCCGACACACAAAAAAAATTTCCTGACTTAGAGCATTTGCGGAGATTGATACGGGAACAACCTTTCATGTATTATAGAGCCACACTCCAACTCGATTCCAAGGCAGGTCACCTGTCATTTGCCGTTGTATCAGATACGATTACCCCAGACATCAAAATTGATCGAAGAGTCAAAGGAGCGTTCGACATGGATGAAGTTGTCGTTAAACTGCTAAATAAGCAGCCTCTTCCAAGTGGTGATCTTCCCAGAACGCGAGGAAAGTTTGCCGGTAAGTCGCTCAGTGTTTCAAGGTGTTTGCGTCGGATATTGTAGCATGTTGCTAAAAGATTATGTACACAAGATGTACGTGGGGTCGAGCCCTAAGCTAAAGAAAAACTGCAGTGTTATGGGTGCGGATTGTCTACACTCAAATAAATGTTTGCCGCTCTAAGGATCCTTTTAAAAGGAGAGCTTGTAAACTTGTCAGAAACCTATTAAGAGTTTGTTTCTCACTAGAAAGTTCAATTTACTGATACCATTTGCTGCTCTTTATATCTTGGACCTTGACTGTAGGTGTGATGCACCCCATCATCGGCCATAAAGAACGACAGTTTGTGTGTATGATCGATTCTGAGAAACCAGACGTAATGATTCCAATCAATAAGTCCGTGCCGAAAATTTTGGCACGAAGTTCAGCAACGTTTGAAGAAAGATCCATTACCACAAAAACGCAAGGTAAACAAAGAACAAGTGAAGATGGAGAGGAGTGCATGTTTCTTGTTCAATTTAAACAATGGACAGCTGGCCGTAATTATCCTCTGGGCACAATCATCCGAAGACTACCACAGCGGTATACCTTGGAGGATAGCATAAAAATTCAGTTTGCAGAACATTGCATTAGAGAGTTGTTCAACGTAAAGTGTGAAGAACAAGTGTAAAGAGAGTTTCCACCATCTTGGTCAATCCCAGCTGACGAAGAGCGGAGACGTTTGAAAATTGATGGAGCGTTCACGATTGATCGTGAGAATTCCAAAGATTTAGATGATGCACTCTCCATTGAAAAGCTTCCAGACTCAGGATTATATCGTGTAGGAGTTCACATCGCTGACGTAAGTTACTTTGTGCAGCCTGAAACTCCTTTGGATGAAGAGGCTTTACTTCGTTGCTCCTCCTACTACCCTGGGCATGGCTTTGAAAACGTTCCGATGCTAACACGCGAGCTGAGTGAAAACCATTGCAGCCTGCTTCCTGACAGACGCCGTTTGTGTTTGTCAATTTTTCTTGACATGTCAGATGATGGAAGACTCGTGGGAAACGCTAAAATACAAGAAACAATCGTCAGGTCCAACTGTCAGCTCACCTACGCTAAAGCCCAACAAATTATTAATAGTCAAGATTTCTCATTTGAGAACCTACCAAAGGATACAGCCAGTAAGATCCGCCAGCTTAGTAACCTTGCACAAAAAATGAGAAAGTGGAGACTTCGAGAAGCTGCCTATGATCATTGGTCAAGCAAAGACGAGCTAGGTAATTATGAAGCACAAGAGCTTGTGGAGGAAATGATGATTGCTGCCAATGAGGAAATAGCAAAATTCCTCCATTCACAACTTGAAAAGAGAGCACCCTTGCGGACCCAGCTTCCACCAAAAAAGCACAGATTGAGTAGCTGGCTCGAACAATTCGGGAAATTTATAAAGTTTTGTTTGTTTCCTCACGCCGTTTATTCCAATGAAGAACTTCAAGAAATGACAAAGGACGTCGACATTTCAGGATTTCCAAAATTCAGAGTGAAAAAGTCCGTCTGGTTTGAGTTATGTAGTGCTGCAGAATCACTAGACAAAGTCAAGCTTCGCCAGTTGGTTTTCAATGAGAAGCATCACTCTCAGTTGGCCATCGCAAAATCACAATTTGAGCGTATTCAACAAAGGGCTCAATACGTCTGCGAGGAAGATCTAGGTGAAGCAGAGGGGAAACTTGGCCACTTCTCTCGGAGAATGGATCGCTATACCCACTTCACGTCACCTATTCGACGATACATTGACATAGTGGCACACAGACTCGTCTTGAATTTGATACCTGGGGACCATCGCACAAAAGAACCCACGATCGTTCGAGTCGCTGAGATGTGTCGTCGTTCCACGTTTGCTGTTGCGAATTCCAAATACTTCAGGAAGCCGTGTAAAGAAGGCAACTTGGCAGCCAGGCTTAGTGAAAAAAGCCACGAGACAACAGCAGYCGTTTCSATGRTMGAMGATGKGAAAATARGKYTRGAAATTAYARAKCRAGAATACGACCARGTCRCYAAAAGACAGAGGGWAATTAAWCTRAGCAGYTTAAAACCATTTRRTGCTAAGCRWGGTGRYTYCGAGGAAATTGTRCTKMYYTGGAAGCTGAGACTRTATATCGCTCCRRARGRAAACAYCGTGGAGRAACTTGATYGTGAAAAAGCAAAGGTATCCATCGTTTTATCTRASGAATTACCWGAACGTGAAGTCTWTKAYWTKCCAGGAGAAAGKTGGCAAMAACTTTTRAAAGCACTTCAAGARGAAAACTAYRRGCKMGTTWCCTCGCTAATTAAACGGATGGAKKGTGATCRGCGAARKCRTYCTCCMTGSCTTACCAGWCWCCGARAWCAGAAWARCCTTCAMAATKGCGGAAAGCTTAGATCAAACATGGAGCATAGTCACGAGAAACAGCTTTCTCTCAAGACATATGATACCATAAAGATTCAAATGACTGCACATATGACACACGGGGTTTTCCACCCAGAAATTCAACTCTTTAAGATTACTCCAAGCGTTCATATTTGTGTCGAGCACCGCAAATATCCAAGGGAATGTTTTACTACCGCGTCATGCTTTAAAGTCTCTGGCAAGTAGGCGACTTTAGACGATTACATAGTGGCCTGGGAGCCTGTTCTTGATTTGGAAGCTGCGACAGTAGCCGTGGACGAGGACGATGAGTTAACCATACACAATTTAGATATCTGGTGGAGGATGGATAGCAGTGGAAAACAGGAAGGAAATTTCAGCCTTCAACGCAAATATTACAAAACCCGCCAAATCAAATTTTATGAGGGAGACTTTGTTTGTGTTCGGGTAAAGGAGGAGATGTACATGGGGAGGTCAAACTTGGGAACAAGCGAGAGGAAGAAATCAGAGGTAAATACGTAGCTATTCAACTTCAGTAATAAAATAATACCATGTAGCTTACACAAATACTTAATTTGTTCAGTTCTAAGCTTCAATGGGACATCCAGTTTAGTTCTTCTTTCGGATTAAGCTATCAGCCTGTATCTTAAACGGATGTAACCTTATGTGGAAAATGAAAGGGAGAAGAATGCGAGAATCTTTTTCTCGAACTCCAGCGCCATGGCGTTTCCGAACGGTTTCTTTCATAATTGCTTAATCGGAATTGCCAATGTGTATGTTTTGGCACATTTTGACCACTGTGATAATGAATATCGTTGTCGATTAGAGTACATACTAGGCTAAACGCCAAGTTAGTCTTGATTAAATCTGATCGTTCACATTGGTTTTTATCCTGTCAGGATTTTACCATACGGAGCGTTTCCACGGAAATGCTCGAAATGGCGGCTATTTTTCGGTTCCAGATAGCCTGAAAATTCAAAATTTACCACTAAAACAAGCGAAAAGAAACCTAAGAATAATCTCATTTTTTTGCAAAGAAATTCCCAAACGAGTCACCAAACGACTGATTGCATCATTGAAGACGCAGGGGTACGTGGTCATTCACTAAGCGAATTTTATCTTGTATTGGAAATCTCTGAAACTGGCATGGGCTAAAGCCAAGATGTTATGGATCACTTCATCAACACACAGAAAAGTTGTAACACGAGGAAGAAGACGGCTAATGATATGAAAACTCTTCTCCGCTAAGTAGAAGCAAATGTAATCAAAAGCCAAAAAAGTTGAAAGCTTACCTGTGCTCCGACTTGACCTTCATTAGTCCAACTTTTTACGAAACGCACGGCAAAGTAAACAAGCCGTAAGGTGGCCAAGTGATTGAAAAAATATATTATGAAATATATATGCTATATTCGAATCTAACGGTGATTTTCTCTATCTCTATAAAGATGGATTCAGATCTTGAAAGTGAAGTACAAGTCACCATGACGCAGTTAGAAGCCAACCGATCCTTGGCGAGTAACTCGAGTTACGGGCCTAGGTCGCAGTCATCAAGTATATGGTTAGGACACGGTATTGTTGGGGAAGTGAAATTCGCTCAAGATTCGGAAATTGGGTCAGTGAAGATAACTCTTTGTCAGTCAGCATCGGAATTTCCCAAAGAGCTGTTGAAAGGAGGCAGTTTGAGTACGTTAACTGTTATTCATCGACCTCCTCTCCACAGGTAATAAAATAGGCGTTGTTTATCGGATAACGCTCGTATTTATGATCATGATCTCAATAATTATCTATTATTACACGATTCGGGTGGCCACGTTCGCTAATGATCACGAAAGTACTGATTTTTTCAAACAGCTTTTCTTGCAGATCCTCATGATCATTTATGGTTATTTGGAAAGAACAGTGTCATTCAGAAATTTGGCGACAGCCTGGAACTTGAATAGCTAGGCTCATTACAATCGTCAACAAATGCCTTAAAATCATATCTAGTAAAAAAAAGTAAATCTCCCACATCGAAGACGTGTGACTTGTCGGGCATAATTATCTGAAGAGCATTGGCAGATTTAAACATTCATGAAGTCAATACTTGCTACTTCATTAATTTTTAGTTTGGTTCATTGCCGCTCGACTAACGACTTTCTTTTCCTCCTTTTTCTTAGACGAATGTCTGCAGTCCTACGGAAAGGGCTGAAAAATGCTCCCGAACGAGTCAAGGCGATTTGCTTGGGGCATGAGCTTAGTCAAGGTTAGAAGTACATAGTTAACCAGGGTTTATAGTCTTAGCCGCTAATTATCAGCATTACCGGAATGTATTATGCTGTGATGTGGAGTGCAACTTGATCGAATAAATTCGCTATAAAGGAAACACCTTTGAAATCCTAATCACCTTTTTATTACATTGTACCGGCCGTCAACTTTTCGGTTAAAAAATTTGACATAATTTTTAATTCGAGAGCACGAACATCTTAAGGAAATGAACTGTTTGAGTCCTCTTCTCTTTCCTCGGTTTGTTTTTTGTAGTTCTTGTTATTGTTTTTGATTTGTTAACTAAATAAAAAAAAAACTCAATAGCATAAGCAAATACAATAGTTATATATTCAGAAAAAAACGTTAAAAATGAATTTGTCTCTTCAATCAGGGGATTTCGAATTGCCGCCTTTCTCTGATCTTTCAATTTCGAGAAAGGATTCCAGATGTCAATTAGAGCCCTTGAATGATTGTCAGAATGAAGCTGTGAAAGTGGCACTTGGGAAACCATTTTCGCTCATCCAGGGCCCTCCAGGTACGTATATGGTATTAGTAAATTTGATTCAGTCTCTCCTTACACGATTAAAAAGAAAGTTAAATCTCTCGGAAGGTGTCACGTCTTCGTCAGTTGGTTGTACATTTTTGTTTCGGTATTTCCTCGTGTACCCGATTCATGTAATTGTGCTTTTTCCATAATACATCGTTAACGCCCAAATTGATTTTGAATTTCAAAAAATATTAAATTTCCAATGAATTGCCATATACTCCTTGGGGTATTTGGCTCTCTTTTTGTCAAAATTAATTCCCCTTCAATCATCTATTTATTTCAAATTCAAGGTACCGGCAAGACAGTGACAGGCGCCCACATAGCCTACTGGTTTGCACATCAAAACAAGATAAATTTTTCACAGTCAGAACAGAAGCTGGTTGAATCAGACGGTTCATCATCACAAGTGATTTACTGCGGTCCCTCTAATAAGTCAGTTGATGTGGTGGCAAGTAAGTAGCGCTAGTACTTTTTTCTCGTTGTAACCCACTGACCAAAACAAAAGATTTTCGTATTGATTACACAAAATTTATCATTATTTTTGTTAAGTCACATAAACATGTAACAAGGAACACAGTTGCAAGTTGGACCAAAGAAACCCTTAAACTTTGCGGAGGATATTCCAAATTTAAGTGGCCAAATACACACACTCGCTTCACTCTCGCCTTAATGAAAGGCGTTTCTGATGTTGACCATAGTGCTCTTGGCTTCGATCTTTCAACACCTACAACGTACGGAAAGTTCTCTCAGTCTGTTCATCCCTGCACGTATCAAACAATTCCCTCCAATCTCTTTAGTTTTCGTTTTCCTTCCTTTTTTTCCTGTTTTTGGTGTTATTTCTTTTTCGCGTGGTTGAGTTTTTTGTTTGTTTGTCTGTTCTTGTTTTGTTTTTGGCATTTGGGCTTTTGTTTGTTTGTTTCTTCTAAAACTGAATAAATTACTTTTAAAACGTAAAAACTCTTTAAGTTTCTATATCACAATCCAATCTCCACAGCATTTTGTTTCATATCGAGGCTGAAACAAAGAAAAATAGAAAAGCATTCAATTAGTGCTGGTCGTCTATTCGCAAAATATTATTTTTTGTTACCGTGCCTGAATACGGAAGTTATCATAGCTCAGTTCTAGTCTAGTCTTCCTCGCCACCAGATTGATCGTAACCCCTTGTTCAAGTAATTGGTCTGTTTGCTCTAAACGTTCGCAAAGGTCCTTGTGGATTAATTCAGCTCATCAGAGGAAGTACTCTTAAAACTATCACTGATATATTTGATATTTCATTTTATTTTATTTCATCGTAGTTATTCATTCATCTATTTATTTGTCATCTTCCCTCCCTATCAAGAAAAATTGCTCCAAATTCCTGAACTCAAAATCATTCGAGTCTATAGTGATTTAAGGGAGCAGGCTGAGTTTCCACTTCCTAACAAACGTAAACCTCTGAGAAGTTCCAGCGACGATGATGAAACTCAAGAATTAGATGAAAAACTGAAAGAAGTGGCGCTACACCACGTCATCCGTGCGGATACGTGTCCGTTCGCTCATGAACTTAAAGAATATGAACGAAAATTTAAACAAGATAAGAAGAAAGGTGTAAGGACCGAAGATGCGCACGTAGACAGTTACCGTGATGTAAGTAATATTGTTGACAAAAAGAAATCGAGCAAAGTCAGTCGCTTATAGTAATGCATCATTTTTGTGTATATCATTTTCTGGCCATGAATAGTAAATAGGAGAGTCCTAAAATGAATAATTAAAAATATTTAGAAGTTTCTCTTTCTTTTATAATAGTTTTCTTATTATTAGTATTATAGCTATCATCTATTTTGACTTCGTAATGTTTTTACAATATTATCACTGTTTTTTTTTTTTCTGGATTATTTCATAATCACACTTTTGCCCTTCTGTACCGCCGCCACTGTATAATATTCAAGAGCTTACGTATCTGTGTTGGGTACTTTTACCTGGTGATCCCATAAAACATTTGTAAAATTTGAATGAGTCAAATTGTACAATGATCATTTGAAATTGACATGACAACTTTTAAACATGTTTTTTCAAACTTAAAAATGTTGTTTTTTCTTAGTTGTTTTGTTTGTTTTTCTTATAAGGATTATGTATCTACAATCACTCTCACGACTTTGTTTATTTTATCGCTTTTACCCCACAGCTTATTGAACAGGCAGAGAAATGGGCATTTCAGTCGAATGGTGTGCAGATTATCTTGTGCACATGTGCAGTTGCCGCCAAGTCTAGTATAATAAAATCATGTGAAGAAAATATCAAGCAGTGTATTGTGGATGAATGTGGCATGTGCTTGGAACTTGAATCACTCTTGCCAATCGCGTTCTTGGCACCGCAGCAAGTGGTATTAATTGGCGATCACAAACAGTTACAGCCCATCATTCATGACAAAAAGGCACAGAATCTGGGCCTCAACGTTTCAATGTTTGAAAGACTCTCTGGAAAAGCCAAGATGCTCCGGCTTCAGTACAGAATGGTAAATTTAGTAATCTATGTTTTCGATTATGAATCAGTTACATGGTTACTTATTTTAGATGTACCTTCTACCTACAAAGATCATAATTCAGTTTACCGATTTCCATCCAGGAAGGTCACTCCAATTTCATCCGTTACTAAGCACATATCAAATCTGCACGAGAGAATTCTTAAGAGGCTGTCTCTCTTATTTCCACCTGGTCAATTTCGTGTCAAAAATAATTTTGTCTGAAACTCTGTCAGCACAAAGACTTTACTTAGGAAAAAACTAATTCAGATTTGGTTTGATTCGAAATAATTTTCCGTTTGCATAGGGGGCCATAATTGTTTCCCAGTCCGTAGGGGCTGTGGCAACGTCTTGGAAATTGAAAAATAGCCATTTTTTTTACATTGTGAAATATTTGATTAGCATAGTTAAGAGCCGAAATTTATATCAGTTTGCTTAAAAACTTTGCTAGTTTACCAAGAAAGTTATAATCTTTCTCTCAATATATTTAAAGAGACGAACTCTAGAATATTTTGACCACTATAAATTTCAGGAGGGTCAATGAGAGATTTACATGTAGTCATGCAATCTTTGTTTCTAAAAAATTTTGCCTTCTAAGGCAAGAGTTAATTAATTTTAACTATTATGATCATAACTGTCATCACCATTATTTTTATTATTACTGTTGATGCTATTACAGTTCACTTACTTGTATTTGGGAAGTTCATTTCATTCTCTACAGGTACCTTAAAAAGAAATTATAGAATGACAAGCTTTAAGAGTTTCAATGTCACATAAAAGGCAGTGACTGTCCAAATTGAAATATCATGATGGCTATTTTATATTTACGACTTTGTGTTATGTCTTAAAGCACGAAGAAATTTGCAAATTTCCTTCCGAGCACTTCTATAACAATCAGCTGGAAACGGATGCATCTGTAAAGAATCAGGGTACCCATTTACAATCCTTTTGGCCTGTTGAGAACGTACCTATGGCATTTTGTCATGTTATGGGGGAAGAAGAGGTTACCCCTATTAAGACAGCACTTAGCAATGAGCAATCTAAAGCGAATGATAAAGAAGTCAGAAAAGCGGTAAGTGTGACTTGACTCGCTCTCTCCGTCAGCAGTGGCTGTACTAGAGTTAAGCACGAGAGGTGTTTCTGGAGAAAATATTGAATGACTCTTAATTCGAGGCACAAAGCAGTAAGCTTGTTTTATATCTTCGTTAGACACAAAACTTGGGAGAACCGCCGTAAAAAAGGAGCAATCTATATGTTTTAAATAGTTATGGTGTTACCAACTAAGGAACTTAATATGTACCTAGCGTTAGTCTTGTATCTATAACTCACATTGTTGTTCTAAAGCTTGTGTAGCCCAACCAACGACGGGACTGTAACCTTGCAAAACGTAAATCTCATAGCTGTCGATGGTGCTCAACTCTGACTTTTGGGTATGGCTTTTCTGACAGGTGCATGTGGCAAATTGCCTTGTGAATAATTACAGGGTGTCCTCGTCAAAAATCGTTATCCTGTCACCTTACAGAGAACAGCAAGAGAGAATAAGAAAAGAGCTGGCCAAAACCCCACAGTGCAAAGATATCTTAGTTACAACTATTGCAAAGAGTCAGGGTAAAGCAACTTTTGATTCGTCTACCATCGTCGGTTAGCATAATACTGTCTGTTTCATGTGACCTAAATGTTAAAAAAGTCATCACTCAGAAAAAAGTTGATTCGAGAGCCCCTTCATGGGATCTCGGGGCATGCACACCTCCCCTCCCCTTCCCTCTTTCCCTCCCGCCTTAAGGCTGTACGTCGAGGCTCTGAAATTCTATCTTAAGCATTCTTTGGAAGTACATGTAAAGCAACATGGATGTTGTTTGGCGTGGTAAACACGCGCCAAGTGGTGATTGCAAAAGTGCCCAACCAGCAAGAAATGTAAACCATGTTTTTTCGGAATGCTAAAATGTCTATTAAAGTGTCTTTTCTAGTAATTTTTTTTGCAGAAGTGACTTTTTTAATTTTTTGTTCGGTTAAGTGTTCACGACTTACACTCATTACTAAACGAAAAGAAGGCGGCTAAGAAATCAAGGAATTTTTATTAGACGGCGGCCGACACATAATGAAAATTTTGTATTCTGTCGTGCTTCTCGACGATTTTGAATTATCTAGCCTATAAAGAAAAAACAACGATCTATTCACTAACGCCCCTTTATGTGGTTTTTTTTTTTATCTACTTATCTATTACCTAATAGTTGGTTTTTTTTTTTAGGACCAATACGTTTAATTTAATAGACGCCTAAATGATAGAGAAGTGAAATAGTAGTGTTTCGCATACATGAAAGATGTATCTCAAATTTGATTCCCTCTCAGGAAGTGAATGGGATTACGTCATCTTATCTCTGGTCCGTTCACTGAGTGGGGATGAACACTGCCCAGAGGGATCATCACATTGGGTTCGTGAACATTTGGGATTTTTAGAAGACGACCACCTGATGAATGTAGGGCTAACAAGAGCGCGTAAAGGGCTTTGTATCATTGGTAAGAAAGTAAAACTATTATTACATTATTTACTTTATCTATTTCCATGACATATTCGCGTTGATATTTTATCATGAATATGCATTTATTTAATCACCTACCGGTAATCTTTCATTACATTTAGTTCATTATGTGAACTACTTATAAGAATGGGAAAAATGGAGCAGATAACAGGAATTGATCAAAGGAATAATAGATCGAATTTAGCATCTTTCACCATAAATAAGGAGAATCGTGTGGTAGATTTGCAATTTTTCCAAATTTTGTGGATCCTCTCCTCCCAGCTCAATCTTTGCTTATGTAAACTGACATCAAACAGCAATTGCTCATTAGCTGATGTCAAAAAGGATAAAACAGGTCTGCTTTCTGAGTTGATTTTCACGTCAGCTTTCTTTCTTTTTTGTTACTCTCAGGTAACAAGAACCTACTATCATACAATTCAATGTGGAAGAACTTGATCGAATCCTTCGAAAAAAGACATTGTGTAGTCAATGAGACTGACTGGCCGAAGAAATAAACATATTACCCAACGCAAAACTTGTAAATAATTAGACTGTCAAACAAACCCTAAAATAGGCTCCAAAGCAATGATTTTAGTCCAAGTACTATAGCACATGTAATAGATAAAACAGCTCCTCTTCCGAAGTCTAGACAACCTCAACCAAAAGAATATCTTACCTCAACTTAACGCTAGACAGAAAAAAATCGAGGGACCAGGAATATATTAATTCCCCTCGATGGGATTATGGCAAGCCAATTGTAGCAATATTCAATAAATGGATATTTAAATTCAAAGAGTCAAGTTTAGTTCAATTCAACGCGTAAATTTATGTGTAGCATACTATTTTTTGGGTTCAACGCCCCATTTTGCATTCAACACTTTTTGCATTCAATACACTTGGGTATCATTCAATGCGATTGCTTCGGTTCAACCTCTTTTTTTAATTCAATGGCACATTTTGCGTTCAACACTTTTCATTTCGTTCAACGCAATTTATTTTCGTTCAACTATTTATTGCACAGCGGTTGACCACTATTGCCTAGTCCTTCTTGATCTCGGTAGTTCACGGAAGGCTGGAACACTGTTTAGGGCGAGGGCCAAAACTAAAGGGCGGACGAGGATTTCAAAAAAGAGATAAAGCAAATCCGTAACAACACGGAGCAAGAAACAGTAAAGGCGATCATGTGCTTCCAAGAACGTGAAATCGGTTGTTTTAAGACCGAAATAAAGAAAAGAAAACGAGCCAAAACGGCTGGAACACTGAACACTAAGAAATGTAGTACGATCGAATCAGCGCGCGTGGCGTAAGCTGACAATGTAACGATCGAGACAGTCAAAAGATAGCTGTTAATCTCCAGGAACAAATCGCTCAGTTCGGCAGTATGATGAAAAGAATAGGAACAACGGAGAATAAAGAATTTGAAAAGTACACACGTGTATTCTCTGACTCCCTAGACAAACATGGGGCAAAAAAACAAATTTCAAAAGCCAAGCGCTGGCTAGCGACTAACAAGCGCAGGGAGCGCAGAAAAGTCAGACGCCAAACACGTTCAACTATCAAAATAGAGGCGAATAAAACGCACACAAAAAAACCTCTCAATAAAGAACTTACAAACAACCAGATTCATTTACTGGCAAAAGGGCTTAAATTTATTCCAACACCCGTTACAAAACAGAAACAGATCAGACAACAACTACTGCGTGACTTTGATCAGTTCGCAAGGAGAATGCGTCTGATTTACATATTCCGAGAGGAGGACAAAAAACTCATCCCTGCCACGTCAAACCTACATGGAGACCACCAATACAAAAATCAGTAGTCCTTGAAAGCTATTTAGAAGAGGTTAAAAGTGACCTTTCAGAGTTAGAAATAACAAAGCCAAAAGACAATTTCCTTACGGTCGAACGCAAGGCGCTCTGGGCCTTGAAACGTGACTCTGTGTTAAACCTCAAAAAGGCCGACAAAGGAACAACAACTGTAGTCAGGAGCAAACGCGACAAAATGTTAGAAGGCCAAACTCTACTAGATAACAAAGATAACTACAGGCCTCTTGCATGACCCATGGTCAAAGAGACGGACCATGAGGTCAGACAACTTATTGCAGACCCCTACAACGGTACTCATATAGACGACATAACTAAAAAATGGCGTTGTCAAACCAGAGTTAGTTCCCTCTACTAACTCTGGTAGAACCCCAAATCCGCCTCGAATATCAAGAATTCTACACCTTAACAAAAATACACAAACCTTCCCCGGTCAGCAGACCAATAGTGTCAGGGTGTGATGGCCCTACAGAGAAACTATCATCATTTGTCGACAAACTCCTTCAGTCGATAGTACAAAAACAAAAATCGTATCTTAAGGATACTACAGACTTCGTCAATCTCACAGAAAAATACGAAAGTCCCGGAGAACGTAATACTTGATTCAATGGACGTTACGAGCTTATAAACAAATATACCACAAGAGGAGGGAATAGACACTGTATGCAGAGTATACGAAATATTCTACAGAAACGGAACTCCTATCCCTACACAACTACTAAAACAAGCGCTTAGGCTAATTCTCCAAGAAAATTCTTTCCAGTTTAATGGAAACCACTACCTTCAAACACATGGTGCGGCTATGGGCACGAAAATGGGAGTCGCCTTTTCTAATATTTTCATGAACAAGGTAGAGAAATCCTTGACAAAAGCCTTTTCAAACTGCTTGTTTGGAAACGTTACATA